ATTAAGGTATAAACATAAATTATTTTGTTAGAGAACCAAGTAAACTATACAAATCCAAAATATGAACACAAATACAAAATGGTTTGATTAGGATACCACTTTAAAATAAACAAAGAAGCCATAATTTATAAATTAAGCATGGGGAAATAAATACTACAATTACCCCAAGTAACTTGAATACCACAAGTAACTTGAAATCAGCGATTCCTTTTTGTTAAGCATAAAATTATATCTATTTAACCTAATTTCATTACTCATAAAAGTTCTAAAAAAAATGTCGTATGTCATAAGGGCAAAACTTTACTATTGTAGTTTCTATGTACATGATTAACTAATTACATTAATGGTAGGTTTTTAACCAAAACATATTAAAAATCAGGTAGGATAAAAAAATGACAACTCATTAGAATAGATTTAACTGTTTTTTTGTTGTTGTTGTTGTTATTTTTTGTTTGTTTTATAATCCTCACCTGAGGATATTTTTCCATTGATTTTAGAGATAGTGGGGGAGAGAGAGAAGGACTGAGAGAAATATTGATGTGAGAGAAACATATCCATCGCTTGCCTTCTGCACATGCCTTGACTAGGGCCTGGGCTGGAGAGGAGCTTGCAATTGAGGTACCTGTCCTTGACTGGAATCGAACCCAGGACCTTTTGATTCACAGGCCAATACTCTATCTACTGAGCTAAACCAGCTATGTTTAATTTTTTTAATGGCTAAATAAATTATACTACATTAACAATGCTGTGTAGGTGAAACAATTTTATCTTACCTGCCAACAATGATGATTTACTAATACTAGTCCTGAGTAAATGGTCATTTTTTTGAATTCTATAGAGGAATGGTGTCTGATATACTAGTCAAAATGCCACAGACAAGCCCAATTGTGTGCTCAGTGGTTGAGCATCCACCTATGAACCAGGAGGTCACAGTTCCGATGATTCTTTCTTATCATTGATGTTTCTATGTCTCTCTCCCTCTCAACTTCCTCTCTGAAATCAATAAAATTATTATTTTTTAAATCTCAGAGACAAAAACTAAATTAGATAAAGCTATTTTAAGAAATTAACATTGATTTTGATTATGTGTATTAGTCCAACTAAATTAATATCTCAAATTGTTTAAATTGCTCTTTGACTATATAGTTCAAATATTTAAGTCAGCTGCCTTCTGAAATTTAGGGTTTTAGCCAGATGCTCACAAAAACTTCCCTTAATATCTAGATTTAAATATAAAGAAATTTATAAGTTATCAGTGTATACTGAATAGGAAACTTTGTAAAACATTAATAAACTAGAGGGATTGCTTAGTTTTTAAGACAAAGCAAAGCCCTATAAACCTAAGAGATAGATAAACCTGCCAATAGAATAACAAGTTTAAATGTGGGACTTTATTGAGGTGGCAAATTAGTGGAGAAAAGGGCTTTAAATAAGTGTATTAGTCTTTATGTTCACTTTAGTTGACTACTATCAATTGATACAGCAGAAAGGAAGATTAAGTAAAATGCACTGAAAATAATGCACTATGAAAAAAATCATAGTGAACAGAAACTACAGAGAATTTCTCATCTGAAAAACATTTAACAAAGCAAAAGATCAAAACAAAACTGTATCATATGCCGAAACCGGTTTGGCTCAGTGGATAGAGCGTCGGCCTGCGGACTGAGAGGTCCCAGGTTCGATTCTGGTCAAGGGCATGTACCTGGGTTGCGGGCACATCCCCGGTGGGGACTGTGCAGGAGGCGGCTGGTCGATGTTTCTCTCTCATCAATGTTTCTGACTCTCTATCTCCCTCCCTTCCTCTCTGTAAAAAATCAATAAAATATATTTAAAAAAAACTGTATCATATATCATGAAAGGCAAATGAGTAGAAGAATGTTTCAAAGCCAACTTTACTTTTCTATTTTATACCAAGCAGAATAGAATTTGAACTTTGTTTTGGTTCTCTGCATTAAAATGATCAACTATAAAGAGAAAGAAAAGATAACTATTTTCTTTCTACAACCCTATCTTCTATATTCTATCACTGTGCATTTTGAATAATACTATGGACTAAATATCCTCCCAAAATTCATGGGTTGAAGCCTAACGACCAAAGTGACTATATTTGCAAATAGGGCCTTTAAAAAGGTAAAATAGGTTGCCTTAGCTGGTTTGGCGCAGTGGATAGAGAATCGGCCTGGGGTCTGAAGGGTCTCGGGTTCAATTCCAGTCAAGGGCACATGCCAGGTTGTGGGCTCATTCCCCAGTACGGGGTGGGTAGGAGGCAGTCATTCAATGATTCTCTTTCATCATTAATGTTTCTATCTCTCTGTTCCTCTCCCTTCCTCTCTATAAAATCAATAAAAAATATATTTTAAAATAAAGTAAAATATATTTAAATGAGATTAGGTTAGGACCCTAATTTAAAACAACTGATTTTCTTACAGGAGGAGGACATACCAAGAATGAGTATGCACAGAGAAAAAGGCCATGTGAGGACACAGTGAGAAGGTGGCCATCTGCCAGTCAGGCCTCAAGAGAAATCTATGCCACCTGCATCTTATCGTCAACTTCTAGCTTCCAGAATTGTGAGAAAATCAAGTTTTGTTCTTTAAGTCACTCAGTCTTTAAGTCACTCAGTATTTTGTTATGGATGTCTTAGATGACTAGCGATATCTTTTTTTTTTTTTAAATTCCATAGTGTATAAATATAAGATCAAGAAAAACTGTTAACATGTTAATTAATAACTCTGTTATTTGAAATTCAGGCTTCTGGTAACTCGAGAATTTAAACTAATGAGCTTCTAGGGCTAAAATATCTCACATGTGTTCTGTGTATCTCCTATAAAATAAAGTCATGGTCCGGCAGAATAAAAACCAGCACTATAGCAGGCAGTCAGTAGCAGCTGTACAAGTACTGTGACAGCTATAGCTGTGGGAGTTTGGAAGGGATCAGAAGCATATACTGGTGTCCTTGATTTGAATAAGAAAATGGAGATCAGTTTATGTGATTTGAAAAGATGCTTTGGTAGATCACTATAAATAAGAGGAGCTGGTTTACATGACTGAAGAATTCTGTTTTGAAAAGACTGGTAGTTAAATTTCTTCAAGATCATCATTACATTCAAGCTTTTTGTCAATGTTCTACAATGAAGAATTCTAAGTTAAACCAATCACACTGTCTCTTTCCTATCAATTCCTGTATAGCACTTATCATACTTGCCCCTATATTTGAGCTCTTTATGCATGTCTTATGTTCATGGTAAAATATAAGTCCCAAGGCATTTCACATGCTTATTGTGTGCTTACATACTTAAAATAATGTTATACAGAGTTGGATTGTCTATAAAAATTTATTATACAATAGAGCTCTGCAACAGTTGGGGTATTCACAATGAAGGGATACTGTAGTAGGATTATGGGCTCAATACTCTAACTCATGTAGTAGAAATGAGATATATGTACTATATTTTCTGGTGAAGAGTTCCTGGTATATGGAAAAATAAAACGTGTTTGGTTTTTTTAGACGCCATATAAAACAAATATATCTTTGCTAACTTTTTAGAGTTTAAAAAGAAAACACTGTTTATCCTGTAGACAGTTTTACAATATTGATGCAATTGTTCAGTTTTGATCAGGTTTGCCAGCTTCTGGCAGGTGATGCAAAAGCAACACTTAAGGAGACTATAGTTAGATTGACTACTTTCATAGGTACGGATGCTTCAGGCTTCCCTAAAATAACCTCTTAGAAATTTCATCACTATTTATTTGAGATGTACAGAGCACTGACTAATATATGGATGATCAAATTCTGTTTCTCCAAGGGCAAAATCAATACATTCTGTGATGTATGAAAGATGATTTCAAAAAATAAAGGTGGAATGGCAATATATATAGAGGGATGTATGTGTTTGTATTGCATCCTAATGTTTAAAATTATTTTGGGGGATAAATCTTATTTTATCTTTCATTTCATAACTTATTTTGCTCAAAGGCAGTTGCATTTTATTAACTAAGAGGCCACCGATCAGTATGTCCCTTATTCTACAATTAAGAAGCAAATGAAAATTATTTTTTAGGAAAGAGCTTTTTTCCAATTACAAAGAATCTTTATTCACTACCCATTTAAGCAACCTGCGCACACCATTCATTTCTATAGAACATCTCATAGTCCCCAATAGAATTCAAAGCATATATACAATAACCACTCAAACGTGCATGAATTAGAATGCATAACAAAGGTTTATAATGCTCCTTCAACATAAACACTAAATAAATTAAGTTCAACATGTTCTTTGTAATAAGATACTAGAACCAAAAATGCTGTTTAGAAGACTTCCACAAGAAAAGATTAATAATTAAAGATTACGTTGCTACCAGTGAGTGAAAAGTCAAGCCACAGACTGGGAGAGTAATTCACAATATTTAACCAACACAAGTCTTGTACAGAGAATATATAAAGAACTCTGATATACAGATAAGAAAAATATGAACAACTCTCTTTTAAGAACAGGCAAAAGGTTTAAATAAGCCTTCACAGAAGATACCCAAATGGCCAATGAGTATATGAATATGAAAGCAGGTACTTAATATTATTAATCAACAGAGAAATTAAAACCAAATACCCAAATGATACCACCATATACATATAAGAATAGTCATACTAAATGTCGGTGATGACAGGAAATATACATTGATGGTGATAGTGCAATTGGTACAAGCACTTTGGAGAATCTTTGACAGTATCTATAAAAGTTAAATATGTGCCTACCCTATGATCTAGCAATTCCACAACTAGATAAATATCGAAGAAAAATTAGTACACCTATTTTACCAATGCACAAGAATAAGGGAGGGGGTGAGGCTGGGTGGAGGTAGGTACAAGGGGGAGAATAGGAGACATCTGCAATAGTGTCAACAATGAAAAATTTAAATTAAAAAAAAATATCAAGAAATCTCCAATTATAGAGAAAACAGCAGTTTTGCCTAATCACTTTGTAACAAGCGGTTCATCTTACCTCTGCTACCAGTTGCTGAAGAGATGGTGAAGCTACAGAATATAGACTTGAGTTACCCCTTATGGGACTATGAAGACTAACATAAGCCACAACATTTTTCTGCAGAACCTTCCTGAAATCCTGAAATGAAAAAAAAAAAAATTCTGTCTCTAACATAAATAACAATAACAGATTTTTAATCAGTTACTTATTAAATACTAAACACTTTCTACTTAAAAGCATTACATTGTACCAGTACATTGTCGGCAATTTCATACTATTTAGTAAGAGTACACAAAGTCATAAATGATTTTGAACAAATGCGATGGATTTAACATAACATTTTGATAAAATATTTTAAATATGTTCTGGAGGCAAATTTTAAGGTAATATGTTTTTAAATGGTTAACATATTATGAGATTCACCTCCAAAATACAGGATGACATTTTTGGTCAAGTGAGGGCACTTAATTTTATAGTGTTTGAATTAGAGAGTAGACAAGGGAAAACTACTTCAGTGATTAATAAACCAACCTTTTCTGTGAAGCAATGAGTTACTTTTTGCACAAACTGGTTTTTATTTTGAGCAAAATGGAGCATAATACAATTGTATCCCTGAACATATTAACTAAACATATTAAATAAAACCTGATACATTTCACGCACATTAGTAGCATAAAATGATTCAAATAGAATAGCTTTCTCATTTCTCTGCTAAATCCCAAAATTTGATGACCAATGATTCTCTTTTACTAGATAGGTAAAAAGTCCCTCTGATACTTTTCTCATCTTCTTGAACAAATATTTAATGGATAATTACCGTGGTGGCAGTTATATAGAAACATACTAAAAAACATCCTAAAAAGTGTACTGTTTCATGTCTCAGGAACATATATTTCTTCTTCCAACACTATCAGATAAAAGACTGCAAGGACTTGAAATCCTTATGGAATCAGTGTTACTCCTATTTTATGTTGAAAATTCAGCTATACCTCTGTAAGAGAGGTGAGAAGACAATTAATTTAAAATAAATAAGTATTTTAAAAAAAAATAAATGGTAAATTTTAACTCAGGTATTCAGCTTTATACATAACATTTTTTTTAAAAGCCCAGTGTTGCAAAGTACTACAGAAAAACAGCTGTTTGCACACTAGCCCATAGACATTATATGTTAGTCCATTTAATTCTCAGGAGACACTCATGATATAGGCATCTGTATACTCATTTGATAAATCAAGTCTTGGGTAGGGTAGTCTTGTAAAAGTCCACATGGTTTGTGGCAGAAAGGACTTGAACTTGGACTTTTTTGATTGTAAAATTTGTAGTATTTCCATGGTATCCTGTAAATAATAGATTCTTCACAGAATAAATGGTAGTTCTTGAAGAACATATCTAGTAAAATGATATCAGCCTTCCCAAGGATCAAGATCAGTATTGAGTCAATCCTCTAATAACTCTATAACTATAAAATTTATTTTTGAGTTTATTGACCAAAACCGCCTAATCATTTTAATTACATGTGTGGACTTCAAGAGGTTCCTGTGCAAAAGAAATTAAATAGAACAATAGGACGTGTCAACACATTTTTTCATCACTCATCTTCCCTAGGGGGTGTATTTAGAGCATAAATTGGATGCAGTTTAAAAGAAAAGGTTTCATTTTCATAAGAGTGAATTCTGAACAGGAAAACTAATAGTTTCTAAATTCCTTCTCAACTAGATAGTTGCAAAATGGCTTCATAAACTGTACTGAAGTAATTTTCTAAGTCATAGTTATTTGCAAGAGGATATTTTTAAAGCTAATAATCAAATCTATATATTTTATTCGACATTTTCTTTACTCAATATCTTTGCCCAAAACATCATGGAAAAAAAAACCAACATAACAAAAACAGAAATTGACTAAGTGCATAATTAGTTGTCAAATATATATACGTACATATATATTCTAGGATATGGATTCTTAATCTTTTTGAAGAAGAGCCTTTTCTAACTTAAACATTTTTTCCTATGGACTCTCATCCTATATAATAAAAGCCTAATATGCTAAGTGTCCAGTCGTCCATTCAACCAATCAAAGCATAATATGCTAATGATATGCTAAGGCTGCTCAACTGCTCACTATGATGTGCATTGACAACCAGGGGGCAGACATTCTGACTGGTAGGTTAGCTTGCTGTTGGGGTCTGGCCAATTGGGACTGAGCGAGACGGGCATCAATCCCAGTATCAGCTGTCATATCCCATTAAAAACAGTGCATCTGGAAGACACAGATATAGAAGCATTTGATACTAAATATTCCAGTTGTTTTCTAACCATGACCCATTCATTTGGACAAAGGCTTCTTAAGGTAGGTAGGTAAGTATTTCTGTAGGTAGGAAAGAAGCAGGGATATAGGTTTGGAAGGATAGACAGAAGAAAGAGTAGAGGAAGGGAGGAGAAGAGGATGGAAGAAAAAAAAACACACACATACTATTTTGAGTCTAGTCTCCATATTACATCTCTAAATTATAATACTAAGGTTATAAACATTTAACATAGGAGATAGTTCCCTTATTCTAGATAACGGCTAGAAAGTTTTAAAAGAAAGGTTAATGGTATGTATCATTTAATCCTTTCTTACCCTGTTCCTGTCAACCTGTCTACAGAGATATGCAATAACCAGGTAAACACTATTGTGGGCATATTAGATTCTGTAGATCTGGAAGCAATACGAATAGTGGCAGATCATACACAATTCACTGTGGTCCAACTCTAATCCCCCTTCATTCTTCTGAGTGATTTCAGCAACCTAGCAGATATGACATCCTGGTTGAAATGCACATTCTTGTCCTTGGCTTTTTTTTTTCTTCCTTTTTTTTCTTAATATATTTTATTGATTTTTTTACAGAGAGGAAGGGAGAGAGATAGAGAGTCAGAAACATCGATGAGAGAGAAACATCGATCAGCCGCCTCCTGCACACCCCGCACTGGGGATGTGCCCGCAACCCAGGTACATGCCCTTGACCGGAATCGAACCTGGGACCTTTCAGTCCGCAGGCCGACGCTCTATCCACTGAGCCAAACCGGTTTCGGCGGCTTTGACAGTTTTACTTTGTCTGAGAGAGAGAGAGAGAGAGAGAGAGAGAGAGAGAGAGAGATAAAATACTAATGAATGCACACATGCACACTTACCTCTCCCCATTCATATGAGCCAATATTGCCAAACTCTGTTCCTCCCCAGGAACAGAAAACAATACTGCGGTCTGGTCTCCACCCTCTCTTCACTCTTAACATCAAGGCCTGGATGAAGGCTGTGATTATGGCAGTGCTGCTGGCCCATTCTTGTCCCCTGTAACTGGATGTAGTATGATGGTGGCTGCCAACTATGATATACCGGTCTGGAAATAGAAAGAAACAAGAGCCATTAAAACAAAATATAAATCCTAACAATAAACTTAATGACATTTACATAATCCTTTTGCACAACTGAGAAACAATTATGCAAAATTGTTCTAATAATTAAGACTACTTTACATTTTTTCACCCCTGTCTTGATTCACACATCTGTGTATATCAAAGCAGAGGCAGCTGCTGAACCCAATTATGAACCCAAAGCTTAGATTCATATTACTGTCCTCTGTGACATGCATATTAATTAGTGAGGTATACAAATATGCCACAATGAAACCTTTATCTAACATTTTCCCAGAATTATAGTGGGAAGTGCCCTGTAAACAATGTCTGTATGCTCAGTAAATATTAATGAACTATTAATACATTGAGGGAGCAGTTATTTAGTAGCTTTAAATATTAAAAATGTGGTAGTTATATATGGATTTTTGCAATAAGTATTTAGGGAATTAATTATAGTTTTAACCTCACTTCTTTCTCTCAAGAATAAAAAATCAACAACAGCAAAAGGCATCCAATTACTGTAAAAGTTTCCTTTTCACATATTTTGTTTTATATAATCATACAAAATCCATTAGATATGCTCTTAGCAAGGTCTCAATGACACATGGAATGCCTACTCTATGTACATTACTGATTATTGTCATCAATAATTAGGCTAAAGACATGCTTCCAGAGTTTTCTCTGATTTTCTTGTCAGTGACTATTATTGGTACAGAGCTAAATGTATTTGCTTAGTGGGCCTACACATTTGTGTAAATGATTTCTCCATTGAGTATCATCGCATTAGGAGAATGTCTCATATCTTGATGCTTAAGTGTGCAGACTCTGAGGCCTGCCTGCATGGGTTTGAAGCTAGGCTATTCAACTTACTAGTTGTGTGACTGTGGGAAGTTTATTTTATCATTCTATGTATTAATTTCTTCAACCATAAAATGGGAATACAAATAGGACATACATAATTTAGTTGTTTTTAAGTTTAAGTGAACTATTATTTGTAAAGCACTTTGAACAGTGCCTGATACATAATAAGTACTACATATGTGTAGAATAAATTAATCATCAGTTGACTCATGGTATAAAAAGGCTACCTCATGGGAAACATCACTGTGTGAAGCTATTTTAGATTTCCACACTGATATTGGAGCCAGCGATGTCTTTGATCTGCCAACATGTCATCAACATTTAATTAATAGTATACATAGTGTGTCTGCAAATGTTGGAACCCTGGGAATTTATTCACTCATTTTCCAGATATGTGTGAAAGTTCTGTTTGAATTGTATATTGTAAACAAGAATCTAAAAATCTTAATAATGTTTGATGATAGTTTCTAATGTTCAGAGTCATTAAAATTATGTGATGTTTTTGTTTAGGATTTAAAGAAGATATTAGAAGCTTTGCTGATATGCACGGAAGTATACTACTGGTAAATTGATTAAATAATTTTTCTATATTGAATCTTTATAAGGAAAGTTTTTACCCTAAGGCTAATATAATATTGTACAATTTGGTTTTTCAATAATAACTTGTAAATGCAGCGATGTTGATAAATACAGAGGTGGGCAAAAATAGGTCTACAAATGTTTGTATGGAAAAAACATGCAGGTTATGATTATTACAATAGCTTTATTAACTCTCTGTTTTGCATAGTCACAACTATAAACCATCTTTTTCCAACCCTTGTATTTCTAGTGCTTCAATTAGATATCCTTATTATGGGAATTTGTTAAAATTCAGTGGTAAGAATTTTGAAATGTGTGTATACCTTCTGTTATTGAGCAGAAATTGTTCAACATGTCTAGTATAAGTAAATCAGAGGAAATATATACCTCCCATTAATTTTGTAAGAGTCGGCTGGCAAGAAACTAAGGGGATATAAAACTTGATCTCAGAAATCTCTGGGTTAGAAACTGTAGGGTCAATTTGACTAAAGTCATAGAGAATACTTGTCCAAGGAGAACTAGAGTAAATGTCCCAAACAAATTAATAGAAGTGGCACAAGTGTACTCAAAAGTTTGTTGCATTCTACACTGTGTACCAAGCGCACCAGACAGGAATATGTGATTCAACCTCACAATGTATTTGAAAGTATTGCTATTAATCTCTTAATATATGTGTCAGTTATTTTTACTTTTTTGGCCTGTATAACATTAGCCCAAGATTCAGTCGGCATCCTGTAACAAAGGTTAAATTATTTAAAATGTAACCAGGTGATCATTTTCATAAGCATCTTCGAAACCTAAAGCCATGCAAACCTTTGGCAGAATTGTCAGTGGACCACGGGTCAGAGACAGGACATAGATACATTGATTAGATTTTAAGAAAAATCAAATGAACAAAAAAACCCACATGTCATTAAAATGTAAACATTTTATTTTTTAAAATGTATTTTTTTAAATAAAAATACCTCTGACACTGTTACAGTGAATAAAAGAAAAACAAAGAGAGAAAAGACATTGGCTTGTACAGCTTATCTTCACCAGGCGCATGCCAGCCAGATTAATTTTGTTTTGATTTCTTCACTACTATGATTTACTTTTGAAGAGATGTTGTAAGAAAGAAAATAAAGATCCACTTCATGGTTTCATATCGTGCCCCTCTTAGAGTGGTGTAAACTTCTGGTTACACGTAAGATAGCATATTTAACTATGCTATTAAATTATTATAGAGCAATTCTTTGTGATGTTTTGTGTAAAATGTAGATTAAAAATACTTTACCATACTTACCTGGAGAAGCCAAGCCCTTTAAATATCCAACAACATTAGTAATTGTTTTGAATGTTGTGACTGTCTGAACTTGCATGTTGACAATTACTTTTTCTGAAAAAAATTAAAGATGATTGTTCTCTATATTTTATGTCTTTTCTTTAAACATTCAAATTTATTTACCCAGTATCATCAGCAAAATAATTCTGAATAAGTAAGCTTTAAAGATAACTGAAGTTACACCTTTTTGACAAATATTTATTCAACACTTTGTATAGACTCTATTTTAGGTATCTGCTATGCAATGATGACTAATATACAATTGCTAGCCTCATAGAACTACAGAGCCGAACATAGGCAATTCTAACGTTCACATTTAGAGATACGTATAATGGAGTTCAACATGAGGGCACATAGAAGACGGCCTCGGGGAGATGTGGACAACTCATATTTTTTAAAGAAAGAAAAATACATATGAAGATAAACCATTCCAAAGAATTTTAGGATTTTTTCTAACATCAGAAAAAGAACATGCGGAATATAATTCAAATGTTCCTGTATGGTGCATTGTTACATTATCACTTTGAAACTGTAAAGCATTACACACATTAAAAGAATTAACACCTTAGGGATACATATTTTCAAATATTAGATTCCTCATTTCCACCTGTGTTTGTAGGTCTCTCTCCTGTAGTCTAAATCTCCACCAATCGCCCTGCCTCTTTGAGTTCTATTCATGCTTGTTTATTATTATTATTATTATTATTATTATTATTATTATTATTATTATTTTTATATAACAAATAAGGCAAAGACACCCATCAGGAGGAACTCCAGTCACAGTTCTAATGTGATCTCTGAAGGCTTTAGGTGTTAACATGTTAATCCTGTATTTAAAGGAATCTGTAAGTCAGGGGGTTTCTAGGGGAGGCTCTAGGGCAGCCAGATGGTAGTGTTGAGGTGGGGTGGGAGGCAATAACCAAACAGCTAATTTAAAATAGACATGCTCTAGTTCTGACAGGCCTTCCAATGGCCCTTCCGACGGCTAGCTGAAAATTGTTAGGAAAAACAAGTTGATTCTTCCTTGATCGCACCATACTAACAAGTTAAATGGAAAATCCATACACCGAATCTGTTAAAATTATAACTAAGTAAAGAGCTCCTGAGAGAATACCTGAGTGCCCCACTCAGAAGAAAGGAAATCCGCTTAGAGCCTGAGGATGGTGGTTTTAATTTGAATGCTAGGCATCTTTGTTTGCTTTACATTTATATAGCTTCGTTGTTTGGAATAGCTTCAGGTCTACAGAAAACTTAACAAAGTACAGTTCTAAATATCCTTTCCCTTTCCCCAATTATTAACATCTTCCATTAGTGTGATACATTTATTGCATTGATAAGGCAATATTAATATGTTTTTACTGAAGATCACACTTCGTTTTGTGCACCCTATGGGTTTTGACAAATGCATAATGACATGCATCCAACATTACAGAATAGTAATCATACACATCATACAGAATAGATTCATTGCCCAAAATATCTCCTGTGCTTTACCTATTCATCTTTCCCCTCCTCCCTCTCTCCTGAGTTCCTGGCAACCACTGATCTTTTAAATGTCTCCAATTTTTTGCCTTTTCAAAAATGTCATATAGTTGGACTCATATGTTTGTTTTTAATATGGGTTTAATTCCCTTTTCTAAATCTGTTCCAAATAGTCCAGGTAAGTGAACATTAGATAAAAGAATCATTATCATACAGTTTCTTAAAAATCTTTCCAGATTATTCTTTAGTTAGATATGGATGAAGACTTTTGTCTGTTCTAAGATCGAATATTCTTTTTTGGGGGGGTAATTCAACAATAAGAAAACCTTATAATATATACAAATGTGCATGTACAATTAATACACATGTGCAATATACTGCTTGCAAATCTTCCTTATATTAATAGAGTGCTTCAAAATTTATAATAGCCACTTTCACACACATATGCTAATTTTCATTAAATCTCAATAATTTTCTAAACCACCAAGTTAAATATCTTCTATTGTCCTCATTTACAGAATGAAGCACATAGGGACAAAACTGGGACTCAAACCCAGGTCTTTATATAAACAACATTTTTTTATCTGAAAAATAAAGCATCTCACTGTAAGACTCCTTGTTTTTAATATGAGAACTTCATCATATATAAACAAATAAAAATAATATAACATATGATGATGATCCACATCTACTTTTAACATTTTATTTTACTATAGGTCCTTCATCATACCTTTTCCCAATGGACAAATAACTACAGTCTTATAGATTTAGTTCTTTAAGGTTGTTAATCATTTCCAGTTTTGGGTTATATAGAATAGATAGGTGGATAGATTTATAAGCAGACAGATCAGATGTAGGTATATATGGGCATAGGCACAAACAGACATAAAGATTCAATTATTTTACAGGCTATTCCATTTTATACAAATGATGTTGTTTTTTTTCACTTAGCATTACATTTTCATAAAAGTAAATGGAGATCTATAGCGTCCATTTTAACTGCTAAGAAGTATTTGGTTGTAGAATCAACTCAGTTTATGCTACAATTCTATTACTGAGGATTAGTGAGGTCATTTACAAATTTTCAGCATTACATTGTGGCAAAAAACATTTTACACTTTTTGTATATGTGTGCCACGCATTCTCAAATAGATAACTAGAAGTAGAATTTCTGAATTATTATATAGTGTGGGTAACTACAACTTTATTAGCTATGTAGAAATTGCTCCACAGACTTTTAAATTTTGACATTTTGATGTGTACAAAAATTTCATTATTGTCTTATTTTGCATTTCCTTGATTACTAGTGAAGTTGAACAATTTTTGTATGTATATTCATAATTCCAGTTTATTCTTCAACCATTTTTCCTTAACTTGTTTATCATTTAGGTATTTTTGTACAGTTTTTAATTGTAATATTATGCACTTGTTCATTATATGTATTAAAAATATTTTTCAACCTGTGATTTTCATTTTCTTGCTAATTATTATATTTTAAAATATTAATATATTCAAATTTGTCAATACTGAGTATTAAGGGGGTTGTTTGTTTTGTTTTGTGTTATGCAGGAAACTTCCTTATTCTGATGTCAGGAAGATGTTCCTCAAATATTTTAAAGATGACTTTTCAACTTTGTGTATTTAATCCAGACAGAATCTGTTATGAAGTAGAAACTTAACTTTACCTCTGCCCTATGGATAGCCAATTATTCTCACTTAATTTATTGAAGTATTAATTAAGCTGCTGTCATATAATGAGATCTAATTCATATATGGATTTGTTTATAGCCTTGCTATTACATTTGATTTTAAGCAGTGCCATACTTTTTAAATTAATATAACTTTATAATGAATGAAATGATGGGTCTTCTATAATCATCATCATTATACTCATGTAATTATTATTACTCAATTTTGGGGATACTTACGGACCATTATTTTCATATGAACTTATATATTAGTTTGGCATGTATCATGAAAAGTCATTTCAGGGTTTTATTAGGAATGCATTAAATTAATATACCCCTTTGAGGAAATTATACAGAGTCTTCCATCAATGAACATCTTATGTCTCTCAATTTATTTCAGTTGCTTTTAATAAAGTTTGTTTTTTTCTTCATAAAGGTTTTATACAACTGTTAATACATTTATTTTTAGTTTCTCTGTTAACAAATTATAACATGTATAACGTATTCTATTGTGTAAAAGCATGCTATTTAATTTTGCATCCTGGTCTTACAATGAGCCTTTTTATTAATCTCCTGTATATTCTAATACTTGATTATAGGGTTTTTATTTTCTTAGTTTCAATGTAAACAATTACTTATTGAAAAAGGATAATTTTGTTTATTCCTTTCACATTTCCATAGCTTTGATTGACTGTTCACATCATCTTGCCTAGGACTGCCAGTGCAGTGTGGAACAGGGACAGTGAGAACAGCATTCTTTGGTCTTTGCTTTGTGTTTTTCACTTTAAATATGTTTCCACGATTTTAGTATTTTAAAAAAAGATGTTTTCTATACTTTTCTGGAAATGTTCCTTTATTAGATGAGAAAGATCATTTCTATTCTTACTTTGCTAAGAGGTTTTATTATAAAGAATTGTTGAATAATGTTTTGAAATAATTGTATAAGATTTTTCACTTTATATTGTGAAATAAAATGCATATATTCCTGGAATGAACTCTGTTTGGTCATCTGTATTCTGTATTATGTTATTACTACTTTTGGATATTTGCATATATATTTATGTGACTGATCATTTCACTTCTCATTTGTTCTTTTCTTACTTTGATATCTGTATTATACAATTTCACAATTTCTTGTTGTTGTTAATCCTCACTTGAGGATATTTTTCTATTGATTTTTAAGGAGAGTGGAAGAGAGAGGGAAAGACAGAGAGAAACACATTGATTGGTTGCCCCTGCATGAGTCCTGACCAGGGCCTGTGCAGGGAAGAGACTGCCACTAAGGTAACTGACCTGAATTGAATACTGAGACCCTTTGGTCTGCAGGCCGAGGCCTATCCACTGAGCCAAACTGGCTAGGGCAATCTCACAAATATTTAGAAATCTTTGTTCCTTTCCATAGATTCTGTAAAAGTTTATATAGCATGAGCGATCATCCATTTTACAAAGGAGTGATAGGATTCATGCATAAACCTATTTGATCCTGATACCTTCTGTGAAGAGGGGTGGAGAGGAATGATATATATTTTTATATTTTAATTTCATTTCATTTCATTAATATTTGCAAATAAATATTATTAAAATGGTTATAAGTATATTCATATTTTTATTCATATTTATTCATATTTATATTCCTATTTGCATTTAGTTGTTCATTCTATTCTTATGTTTTAAAAAAATAACTGCCATTTAATGCCATTTTGTCTTCTTTTCTATTTCTAAAATTAACTTACTTATGCCTTTTATCCTTCATCACTTTAGCTAAAAATAAGTTAATTTATTGATATTCCCAAAGAACACATTTTGGAGTTCATAACTAATCATTATTTGCCGGGAGCCGGTCCATCCGTGCTGTTTCAAAGGACCTGGCATATATGGCATACT